GCACTTAGGGAAAGAAGTGATATTGTTGATAATATTGTCCAGATGAGAAAAGAACTCCTAAATAACATCAACTTCTTTAACTGTATAAACCAATACCAATTGTAATCGATGAGCAAAATAGTGGACGTAGTATGTATACGGACAATCTCTAAGAAATAATGCTTGAAGTCCATTCCAAGCGCCCCGCATATCACTAGCACCATCATATCCTTGTCCACTCATTTTTGCCACTTCAAGTTCATGTTGAGCAAGAACATTTACAATCTCATTTTTTAGACTTGATGATGTGGTGTTGCTGATACTTTTGATATCAAAGTAGCGTTCCGTCAAAATACCCTAACCATTTACAAATCTCAAAATAATAGTCATTTGTTCTCTCTTAGATGCATCTTATGCTTTATCAACAAGAATACAAAACTATCCACCCCCAATTTCTTTACGAATCATCCTTCTTACTCTATTCGCCATTATGTGTAAGATTTCTTTTTGAATACTCGGAGCAATATATTGGACATTTTTTGAGCATTTTTCAGCACAACTTTATTAATTTCTGTATTCATTTCTGCCAAAATTTTTATCATCCTAATAATTCCCGCGATTCAATGAAGATAAAGATTCATCATGACCTTTGAAGGAACAACTTTGAAATGCTAGCTATCAAGCACTTTGAATTGGAGTCTTAAAACGTAGACGACATTTCTCAACTTCTTCATTCGATATAGTATGCATCACTTTATCAATATGTTGAGACGGTTTCATTAAATCTTTAGCTCTTCTCTCACACATATTATGTTCTGATGATTTTAAATGAGTAAGAAATACACATTTTGCTCCGTCATTAACCTTTTTCCATTGGTTATATCCAGAAGTTACCAATGCTGAACAATTGGATGGATTACCATCATTTCAAAAAATATAACAAGAAAAGCAATAAGCACTATCCGTTGTAGATGAATACTCTAACCAAGGAAATTGGTTGAACCACTTTGCCTGAAAGCGACGAGACTGAGATATTCCTTATGTCTTAGGATACTCAACAAGTCTTGGTTGATAAGGCCCAGTCTTTAGATATGCCACTTTAATCTCATCCCGCAGATTAGAAGGAAATTCTAGTATTTGCTTTATTTTCCCCTATTCCCGTTCAATGCTAATATTTGAGGATGAATGACGTTCAACTTCCGGAGGAAATGAAGGTAGATCTCCAGTTAGTTCATCAGAAGTTGTACTTTCAGTAGGTCGACCAGCCCTTTGGAAGAACGAAAACAAGTTCTTATTTTTCTTGAGAGGAGGTTGACCTTCTATTTTCAATTCTTAAAATTACCAAATAAAAAAAAAAGTACAAAGGAAAAAATAATCATCAGTGATATTATTCTAGTGGCAATCAAAAAATAATTCATTAAGCTGATAATGCAACAACAACAATCATTAAACCAACAAGACAACAACAACAATCATTAAGCCGACAAGGCAACATGCCAACAAGACAACGAGTTATTAAGCCGACAATGCAACGTTTCAACAATAGTTACTTAACTAATTCAATATTTTGCTGGCAAAGCCACAAGTGGAGAGACGAGGGCATTTACTTACAAGGGATAGTGGATTATATTGAGCTTTTGCAAATTGGTTTTCCTACATGTCTGTTGGATCGGGGACAGCGTCTGTGCCTTGATAATGATAAATTTATTGTATTTTTGAAAATAAAAATAATTCAATTAAGCATGTTGACTATTGAATTCTCAAAGTAGAAATTTTAAAAATGCTTAAAGTAGAAAGTCTAAAAAAACTCATACTCAATAATCAATATTAACAACAAATATATATAAAAAAAATAGTCCAAGTTATAAAATCTAAGTTACTACCGAGTCGTACAAGTATACATTTTTTTATATTTTGTATTTACTTTACTGTTAATGGCTTAATGAAATTGGTTCTTTTTTGTATTTTATGAAAATCATTCAAGATACTTTTGAACAATATAAAAATAAAGACTTAAAACTTAAAAGAGACAGACATATTTATTCAATTATTTGTGCAATTGTGCTTTAAACCACTTAACCAATAACCACAGGTCCACGGTTCTTTAATTTGTGAATTGTGACTTTAACTCTTTAAGAATCTCCATCATACACTATGTCTATATAAATTTATAAATGGCTCTTCAGAGTTCAGCCTCTTTTTCACCTTCCGGTTCGGCTCCCCGCTTCGGCCCTTCCGTTTCGACGTTAAAGAGTTTCTTACAAGACATTCAGAGAGAGAAAGTCAAACAGAGAGAGAAATGGAGAAGGACAGAAGGTATTTGGAATCGGGGTTGAGCACGGTTTTCCTCTATGCTTTGTTGCGGGTTGTGGCACCATCTATAGGTAAACAGTTTCTACACTTTGAAAGAATCGAAATGTCACTTACCAGTTCAAAATCCGTTGTCTTGTTCAGCTAAAATACACTTTTAAGAGATGAAATCTTTGATTTGGGTAATGAGTTCCCTAATTTTATAGAAATTTTGGATTGAAAACTTGAAGATATAGGTTGGAGTCTAAGAGTTTTCAAGAATGGAGAGACCGAGAGAGAGGAACGTCTGTTTGATTTTGATTTCTCACTTGGACCTATTGCGTGTTGGTTGTCAAATGATTAGTATTGGATTAGAATTAGGTTTGCTTTGGGTTTGGTTTTGGGTTTAATATTGGATAATAAAATTTATGTTTTGTTTGGGCCAACAAATTATAGTTGGGCTATTTGTTTATTTTGTTGCAACTAGGCTTACACCACTTGGGCTGATTTTAAATTTTACATGAGCTGAACTTAAAAAAAAAAGGAAAAAAGTCGCAAATGCCTTAGAAATTTGTAATGATTCTGAAATTACCTAAAATACTCAGAAATTTGAAATATACTGCAATTATAACATAAAATCACCAAAACTACTGTCACTAAAACCTTCCATATACACAAAAACGTAATAGACAAAAATAGTGGATGGTTGATTTTATGGGAACGAAATTACAGCACTGGGAATTAAATCTAAATTTAAGACATGGAATAATGAGTACGCTGCTTCATAAATCTCTCATTACAGTGATTTGCTGCTCCCTGGGGATCTACACTTTTCAACAACATTGCTGACTTCCTCTCAGTTTTGTGACACCGAAAGTGCATTTACAGAATGAACAGCTGGGTAATGTCATCGTTCTCATTATGATAACACTGAAAAATGTAATCAAATGTTCTTTTTTGATTTACACAAGTCAGATTACTGGTCTGTGAATTATAAATCTATTCTCGAAGTCGTGTGATCTAGTACAAAATGTGTATATTGGTTGTTGTACATTCTTGAGTGATCCATAGATGAACAAGAAAATTTCCTCAAACTGATATGTTATTTCTTTCTGATGAAACCAATATTTTTCGAAAATTAATGCAACCTAATCACATATGTGGGCATGATATGTAATAATCATATATGTGATATGTTACGTATACATTCATGACATTTGCTACATCTTTTTATTTATTTATTTTTGCTTTGACTTTTATTGTTTCAGACAATGGAATCCGTCCGCGTATTGGTCACAAGCGAGTTAAACACTTTTGGCATTCTCGTGCCAATGAATAGCACTTACCGAGATCTACTAGACATACCGTCACTGGAATTGGATACTAGCAATGATACGGATGAACTGGAAATAAATTATGATGGGGCTGAATTACATTCTTGCTGTAATTAGTGTAGCAATGAAGGCAGAAGCTTTGAACAGGGTCACTCCGATTAACCTTGCTCAATACATCTACTGGAATCTTGGTGGTCATAATAGTGGCACTATCCTTTATGATGAACTTCAAATATTTACAACTTACATCACGCTTGTAAAGTGTAAACAAAAGCATCTTCACTGTGTGGGAAGGTATCGGTTAAAAGTACACCATATGATTTCCTCAAATCCTGCAAAATTGGAGGCCGGATAATGGAAATTAAAGGTGCCACGGAGTAAAAGATGAAGCCAGTAGCGGGTAGCTGTGGTTATAACAAGAAGTCTGGACAAGTAATGCAATTATCATCTGATGCTCCTGTTGTGTAGTTGTGTACTGCGAACTATATGAACCAAGTGAAGGGAAAAGTTGACTTTTATTTATATTCCTCATGTAGTGGGTTGTTTAGAGATGCAAGGGTTCCCAGACGTGGTGAATATCCCCAATTTTCCCTCTTAGGTTGTAGCAAAATAAGAACGCTATGGGAGTTCAATGTAATATACCAGATCGCAAACATGAGCTTGGCCTATGTGTGCAATATGTATACTTAAATTCATCTAAGAATATGATCAGTGCAACCTAAAATGACATATTCGAGTGGTGCTCAAGCTGTATTAAAAAGAAGATAAGAATACACATTCGACTTGTTCGATAGTAAACATATACATTACATTCAATAATATCGTTCGGGATGTGAAGATGTAGGATTTATGTTATACTAAATCTTAATGAAGAAAGGTATCTTACATTTTTTTTTAAATATGACCAAAAACATCCTCAACAAAAATTAGTCAGCGGAAATAAAATGAGGAAATTTCTTTTTTCATTTATCTACATCATGGATGTAGTGAAGCGAATTCACCAACAAAATTTACATAACCAAAGCAGATAAGAACATCTGACATACACTTTATTGTAATAAGACCAAATTAAAACTCCCAAAATACATACTGAACTATTTTTCAAACATTTTCAGAGATTGAAATCCTTATAAATTAGAAATGTTTCTGATTCAGCACTGCGCTTAGCTGCATCCGAGTTGCTCACTATCATAAAAGATTCTTCGTAGCCACACCGCCTTTTAGAAATGAATATGAACTCCGATCTAAGCTTGTTGTCAACAAAATCCATCTTGGTTCCAATGACATGCATGAGGGCTTTCGGATCAATCAATATCTTCACACCTTTATCTTCAACCAACTCATCAAATTTGCTTTTCTAGCCATTGCAGCCACGAGCCTTGACAGTTGACAGCAAGCATGAGGACATCATGTTGGCGTTGCTCTAAAAGGTGGCGTATTCTAACCGCCACGATTTTATTCAAATATTTCATCCCCAACATGTCTAGTGCGCAACAATTATTCAATACCAAAATAAAAGGATTTTCACATCACGATCTGTTTCATAAAAACACAAAAAAAAAGTCGATTTGTGTCTTTGAATTACGCATGCGAGGTAAGGAGATCGATTTGTGGTCTCATTTCTTTCCCTTTTGTTGATTAATTGATTTGAGGATACTGAATTTGTAGGAAAGATGAGAGCATTAAAAGATTTTGCAGAAAGGAAAGAGAGAAATTATATGGGTTTTTGGAGGTAAGGTCAAGATTTTGGGTAAACTATCTTGACCGTAATTGATGCTTTTCAAATTAATTCACCTATTGTATCGTGTTCCTTTTCAGTTTTAATTTACACTGTTCAAAATGCAGTATACATATAATAAAAATAAGATGCCATGTTTAATAGGAAATATTATTTTTTTACTAGTGTTACGTGTAATTTTCCCTTTTTATGTATATTGCTTTTGACTTGCAAGTGGGCTTGCATTTGTATTTGGGCCATTTTATTCCCTGCTGGGCTCCATTTGCTTCTTTTAGCAATGGCCAAGCAAATGGCCCAACGTAGTGGGCAGGCCCCTCCCAATCAAATTGATACTTCAGCTCAGGTACTTACCCCAGTCCAGATTTCTCCACAGCCTGGTGAAGATGTTAAGGATTGCAATGATGTTGCGACAATCTCTCCTATTATTTCAGTAACACTTGGGAAAGAGGATACGGAATCTGGTGAATCCCATTTTGAATCCCAAACTGCTGAATTAGATAAGCATCACGTGGGAAAAATGCTAGGATTGTAGAACAAAAAGAGGCGAAAGCACCATGGGTGAATCTTTTTAAAGATAATAGGAAATTTGATGAAAACGTGAAGTTGCAAGTTTGTGATAATCAATCGGATGAGGTGGTTTTGTGTGATACAAATGCTCAAAAAGTAGAGGATGCTTAGGGATTTGGTCTTGTTGGGTATTTTGCCAATAGATTCCTAGGGAAAAAGGCCTGCTTCAATTATGTGATTCTTGGACGGTCAAATACTAATATTTTGTTCACGCTAGTGCAGGGGCGGAGCCAGAATTTTTATCCAGTGCAGGCATAATTTTAGATATCGGCTACAGTGATTTTTAGTCCGATTTTTAGTCCCTGCGGCTGTTGTTGCTGCTGCTTCTTCTCACTGTGGTTCCCACTTCCGTTGGTGGCAGTGCCATTCAAAGCAACCGGAGGAGTCACCAATTATTGGAAATTCATGACGACAATACTAACACGGTGAGTTCAATTTTTCCTCCCTCTATCCCATGTGCTTCTCTTACTATTAATTCTTGACGTAGAATTTGTTTTTGCCTTATGGGGGCTTTAAATTGTTGGCAATAGCAGTTTGGTTACCCAGACGTTTATTCACAAGTGGTTTGTCTTGGATTTTTTAGTTAGACTCACACTCTTGCTGATAAGACAGATGCACACCTACGCTACTGAAAAGAGACATAGATAAATCACACGCGTGGAAAGCTTTGTTCTATACGTTGTCAAATGCAAGTCTTTCAAGTTTTGCTAAACTAGCGAAAATCAGATGAAACTTTAGGTTAGACATGCACATTGAACTCATGTGCTTGTATTTTAGATCTGATGCTGAATCAATATAGAAAAACTGACACTTGAAAAATCACTTTGTTCTTGACCGAGGATATGAATCTAACCAACTTTTCTTGTAGACCCAACTTCTGGAGGAAATAATACAACTTTCTCTGTATATGTATTGAAAAATGGAGCTTGATGTTGTTAGACAAAATCAAATTGATTTGAATCAAGATGATTATTTGTTGAAGTGCCTGAAGAATAAATTTTGGGTTTTCTTTTCTTTTTAGAAGAATATGCTAAAGTTACTATTATTTATTTAAAAAACTAAAGATAAACAAGATAGCTTCTTATACTATTAGAATATGCTTGCAAAAGTAAAATCAACATTTAAAAAATATTCATGCATAAAGCACATGTTACAAAGTAAATTATGTGGATTGCACTATAATAAGAATTATGTGGATTAAAACCTTCAAGAACTTCTTGAGTTTTATGCTCCTTTGCAGTAAAGTTGTCCAAGTTTTCTTTCCTTTTGAATCTTACATCAAGAGGTACTTTACGACACGGATCCACTTCACCTTTTAAACCTTCTAAGTGTTGTTTGATGCGATTAATACCACCTCCCGCAAAAATCTTTCCACAATACAAGCAAACCAACTTCTTTTTATTTCCATTAGTACTAGCTTCAAGAATCTCTTTACAATGACCCCATGCTATAACTGTTTTCCCTCTAGCATGGCTTTTTGGTGGAGAAGAATGTGGTGATAGTGAACTATACAAAGGCACAAATCTTGTTAAATTATATTATCATTAGGAGAGCGACAAACAGTTGGAAACATTAAGAATTTGCGACACCAAATGATTCAAACGAATATTAAAACTTCTCCATCTCACCTTTCTGCTTTCTAACCATACAAATCGTGTGAAAAAAGATAAAATTTCTGATAATTGGGTGCCTTTTTCCCCTTATGTTTCTCTAGCGTTATAAATTAAGTCCTATTTACCGTCAACCACTCAAAACCACTACAAATTCAGCACTTCATAGCCAAATAAATAGTGCTTTTTAATAGCCAGTTCTAGGAAATGCACAGAAAAGGAAGACACGAACACATTTTGAAGCATAAACCGACAATTCATCAGTTGATCAACAAACAATTCATAGGAGCTAGAAAAAGAAAATTCAAGAACCCAAAAACTAAAACTGTGAAATTCAACCAAACATTAAGAATTCATTTAAACTTTTCCATCTCAGCTCTCTACAAAATTGCAAACACGAACCAATAATTCTATGCCATATTCACGCATAAAATTACATTTAAAACACAATTGTTTTATACAGTATACAACGTACAGACAACAATAACATGAAATTCTGGTAAAAATCTTCCAAAATTTACCCATCTAGAGATTTTTTCACATAAAATTGAAATTCACAAAGAAAATCATAAATTTTAAACTTAAATCTTCTTCTTCTTCCATCTAATACAACTTGAAATTGAAGGTTTGAATTCTTGGGAATGAAATTGCAAGAGAAGGCTGAGGCTTGGCTACGGCCTAGGGCGTTGAATGTGAGTAAGATTATTAGAGATTTTGGGTTTTTATATAAAGTAAGTGGACTGGGAGGTTTCTTTCCAACTGGACCAGCGGTTTAATGGAAAAACTGGCGGCTCTTTTGGGTTTTTATCAGGTTACCTGCACAGTTAAAATATAAGGTGGCTCGGACTGGACCATGGTCCGGTTCGATAATAACACCGTTTCAGACATTTTCTTTTCGCTGTGATTTTGGATTCTCAGCATCCAAGTAGGGCACCATGGTCTTGTGAATTGCTTGAATTTTTTGCTTTGATGAGTTTTTAGTGACAACTTTAACCGACTATAGGGTCATGGCTTTCCTTACAAGTATCATAGTTGCACTACACATACATAATAATTTATAGCATGGCATGCTTTGCACTTCCAGATGACTGAATTGATGGTTTTGAATTGATTTGTAAGAGTTGATTACAAGTTTATAATTTGCAGGAAATTAATGAAGAGAATATGAACATAGTCAGGAAGAATTTAAAGCAATTGGGAGAGGACAATTCAGATGCCAAAAGAGGTGATGAGATGGATTGGGAGAGAACACACAGTGCCGATGGTCTTTCAAATGGGAATCATGTACACAAACATCACAGCGATCGCATTAGGCATCACAAGATAGATGCCTCTCCCGTTGAAGGCAGTGAGAGGAGGCTAAGCGACTACGATTATGAAACTTGGGGTATTTTTCAACGTAAAGCTCTATCATCTGAGGAGAAGCACAGTGTTGTTGCTCACTCCTCTCATGGCAAATACGGGAAAGAGAGTTCTAGCAGGAATGTATCTAAGTCACCTGATTGGTCTAGGGGAAGGTCGCGATCCCAAAGCATTTTTCGAGAGGCTTCTGTTGCCGGTACGCCACATAAGCCGGATGATTCATATTATATGGAGAGAAAGCATAGGACTGATTCAGATGATGAAAGGCTTATTGCACACAACAGAGACTACAGACATAGTAGCAGAGATGTTGTAAGGGATACAGAAAGAGAGCGGAGTTGTAGTAGATACTCAGATAGAATGGAAAGGCATCTCAGCAGGGAAATATATGATCTACATAGGGAGGACAGCAGGGAAAGAGGCAGGGATAGAACTAGAGAAAAAGATGGGGAAAGGGAAAGGGAAAGGAAAAGGCAGAGGGAGAGGGAAAAGGAAAGAGAAATGGCCAGACATCGAGATAGAGAGAGGGAGAGGGAGAGGGAGAGGGACAAGGGAAGAGAGAGGGACAAGGAGAGAGAACGGGAAAGGGAGATGGAAAAGGAAAGGGAGAGTCAGATGGGAAGGAAAAGGGACAGATTAAGAGAGGAGAGGGACAGGGACAGAGATGGGGTTAGAGAGAGCAGAGAAGCTAGAGGAAGGGACAGGGACAGGGAGAATGAGAGTGATAGGATAAGCAGGCACCACAGATACCATTCTGTTGATGACGGGTATAGAGACCGAGATAGGTATAATGATTCTAGGCTTGGGAAAAATTCTGAAAATGATCACATAGACAGATCAAGGAAAACAGCTTCAGAAAATGTTAGCTCTAAAAGTAATCTTGCTGACAGGAATACTGAGAATATCAAAAGGTATATCTTTTTCTTAGACAAATTAGTCTAAATTAAGTATTCTTTTATCTGTTCATTTTTTTTTCTTTTTGGTTTCAGAGAAGAAGATGAACAAGAGGACTATCAAGAAAGGATTGCAATGCAACTGGCAAAACAGGAAGAAGATCTTGAGAGAATTAGGGAGGAAAGCAGAAGGCGTAAACAAGCTATTCTTGAAAAGTACAAAAACAAACAGTCACCACAGCCAATTGGAACTCAATCACAAGATATGGGTAATGTTTCATGTTTTCATTACAGTTATTAATTGTATCTCAATGCCTGCCATTTCTTGCATCATAACTCGGGACAAGTTGGGTATTTTGAATGCCGACTATTTGGCTGGCTTGCAATAAATTGTCATTGTTCTTTACTTTTGACTTGAATTTATTCATCATTGTGCAATGCTTTGCCTCTGTCAGAAAGTTATTGCTCATTCATGTTAAATTTATTACTCTCATGGATAGGCTTTTTTATGTGGGTACTTCTGTCTTCTTTTGTTATGCTTTAGCTGATGCTTGCTTCTTGTTAATCAGTTAAGGAGCAAGTTGGTCAGTCTTCTGATCAAGTGGCAGCCCCTGATATGGTAGAAAATGTTGATGGCACTGCAGAAGGTGCGGATGTTTATGTTGCTGAGCCATCATTTTCTGTTGGAAAATCCCCTTCACAAAAAGGCCTTTCTGCTTTGGAGAGGTCTACTGGAACTGGTGGACTAGGGGAGGGTACTCCAAAGGTGTGTCAACTGCTATTCCCCTTTTACAATTTCTGTATTTATATTCTTGTACTTTGTTAGCAAGGTAAACTCTCTATAATGTTTGTTTCTCTCTGAACTACAACTCCTCTTTATGTTTTTATATTTGACTCTAGTGGTATCCACTATTGGTTTTGCATGATTCCTGCCTTATCAATCAATGCAGAGTGAGAGATCGGATGATATGTTTTGTGATGATATATTTGGAGAATCCCCTGCTGGCGCTCGCAAAACAGTGAGTCTCATGTTTACACATTTTGTATGTAACTGTTAAGGTTTCACATGTTTATTATCATAACTACTAAGCTTCCTTGCAGTCCAACTGTAGTTTGTTGTGTCTTATAGCTCTTACTTCCTGTGAATCCTCTCTTCATGGCCTTCATATATTCAAGCTATGATTTTGTATTATTTCTTCTGTTTATAGTTGCAAAAATAAACTATCTTTGGAAGTTTAGTCTTGGTTCATACGGTGTATTTCTATCTAGGCGTATCTACTGTCTCCCCATTGACGAAAACCTGGACTAAAATGAGATGATATATTTAATCTCTAATTTCATGCCATTGAACAATTGTCCTCGTTTGTTAATTGAAAATTGTCTACATCAAGCTTTTTTCAGCGAATTGAATTTTCTGCAGGGTAAAGGTGAAGGTTTAGCTGTTGAGAGGAGTGGGCTTAACGACAACTGGGATGATGCGGAAGGGTACTATGGTAAGTATCTAGCACAAATCTCACTATTAATTTTCAGTATTGCCTTTCTTCCTCTTGGATGATGGTAGCTTCTGATGGACTAGACACGTAGTCATTCTGTAAGTCCTATGCGTCCACGACGGCATGCAAATTCATATATCTAGGTTTTAGGGCTGTAAGACATATTCCTGTGCTATTTGATTTAAGCACATGCCCTTGAAAAGATGATGTTATATAATGAAAAGATGTACCATTGTACTGGAAACATGTTTGTCTGCCAGATTAATATTTTTTAAATTATTATTATTATTATTATTCTTTTACCTAGTTTGTATGGTTCACTTAGTTCCCTTATTCTCTTGTTTTTCACTTGCAGGCTACCGTTTTGGAGAAACACTTGATGGACGATATGAAATTACTGCTGCCCATGGGAAAGGCGTCTTTTCAACTGTAGTTCGTGCCAAGGATCTCAAGGCTAAACCAGATGACCCTGAAGAAGTAGCAATAAAAATCATACGTAGTAATGAAACAATGTGGGTAATTCTAGGTTTCCCTGGTTTTTTATGATCTAGGCTTTTGCCCATGAGCATCACAAAGTCCTGTATGCCTAATTTTGATCTTTATTTCTTTGACATGTAGGTATAAGGCTGGTTTGGAAGAGTTGATCATTCTAAAGAAGTTAGCTGGTGCAGACCCTGAAGACAAGCGCCATTGTGTCCGTTTTCTTTCTAACTTCAAGTATCGGAATCATTTATGTTTAGTTTTTGAATCTCTTCATATGAATTTAAGGGAAGTTCTCAAGAAATTTGGTCGTAATATTGGTCTGAAGCTTACTGCTGTGAGGGCATATGCAAAGCAACTCTTCATTGCTCTGAAACATTTAAAAAATTGTGGCGTTCTTCATTGTGATATTAAACCAGATAATATGCTGGTATGCTGTGAAATGCCTCTAATTTTTTTTTTTATCCCCCTCTTCTCTTCTGGATTTAATTTATTTTTTCCATTGATGTTTAACTGTAATGCATTTCCTTTCTCTCCATAGGTGAATGAATCAAAAAATGTATTGAAGCTTTGTGACTTTGGTAATGCCATGTTTGCTGGTAAAAATGAAATTACTCCATACCTTGTGAGCCGTTTTTATCGTGCCCCTGAGATAAGTAAGAGTTTTATTTTGTTTCTGAGTGGCATTATTTCCTTTTTCTAAACCAGTGGCTTTATACAAGTCTTTTGTAATGTTGATTGAATATTTTATTTTGCTCGATTTCATCAATTTAGTGAATCTCTTACTTCACTTATGCAGTTCTAGGTCTGCCTTATGACCATCCCATGGATATTTGGTCAGTTGGTTGCTGTCTGTTCGAGCTTTATGCTGGTAAGGTTCTGTTTCCCGGGGCTACCAACAATGACATGCTTCGCCTTCACATGGAATTGAAAGGTCCATTCCCTAAAAAGATGCTTCGGAAGGTTAGAATATGGTCTGATTTGCTCAGATAAATCTAGGAACTTCCCTCCTACCACTATTTCCTCTTGCAAATATATCTCGTTTTTTCTGCCTCATAATTTGCTAGTGCGAGTTTTTAGTTTCTCCTTTTGTTGTAGGGAGCTTTCACGGACCAGCATTTCGACCAGGATTTAAATTTCCTTGCTTTAGAGGAAGACCCTGTCACAAAGAAGGTAGGTATGCGATCTTCCTGTTGGTAATTGGAATTCCAGTTGTTTTCGATAGGAGTTGATAGTTTCCACCATCTTTTGTTGAGTGCTTTCTCTGTTCTTGCAGGCAATAAGGAGACTGATTCTTAATTTCAAGCCAAAAGATGTTAGTTCATTAATTTCAGGATCTCCTGGAGAGGATCCAAAAATGTTGTCTAATTTTAAAGATCTTCTGGAAAGAATTTTTGTGTTAGATCCAGACAAGAGGATAAATGTATCACAAGCCTTGAGCCATCCATTCATCACGGGCAAGTGATAATTGATGCTGATTTTCTGACTGCAGAAATGCTGTTGCATTAGATACTTGTACATTTTGATACGATCTCAATTTATGCTCAATTATCTAATGATTGGGTATTTATCTGTCTTTATCTTCTCTGTGCTGGAGCAAGAGTTTGGAGACCATGTATGGTTGAAGTCCTCAGAGACGATGCTGGGAGACACCTGTAACTGGCAGTCCTTTCAGTGGATTGTTTTCTGTTTCTATTGTAAGATAACTTGCCAAAGGCGTTTCTCCCTTTTGTACTAATTCTTAATGTTGACCATTAAGAAAGCTTTTAAATAATATTGTTATTTTTTCTTATATTTGTTCCATTTGTACGCTCTGGACCTCATTACTGTTTGTATATGGGGCACCATATTCCTGTGGGAAGATATGATGAAACGTATGTAGTTATTTAAATCTTTGTATATAATAGTGTCAGTTAAGGAATTTTCTCAAGATAGCTTGTAAGGCATTTTTCATTTCATTTCCTACCTTTCTATTATCTTTTTTCTCAATGGCTTTGCTTCTATAAGCAGTGTATCCTTGATTACTTGTTTTTGCTGATGATCTTTGTTGTCATGTTTACCTTTTTATCTTTCCTTTTCATATCATGCTATAGATTTTTTGGGTCCTGGAGAATCTAATGTTATTTTTCATTCAGGATTTCTACCTGAGCTATGAGGAAACCATTCAGTGGTTTATATGCTTAAAAGGCCCTCTGGAGAAGGTACCTTGGTTTTGCTTGGTTGTGTTTATATGTGACACCCGTGAGAATATATAGGGTCTTGACTGCTTTTAGTTACAGCATATAACTGGTCCTTTATCTGATTGGATTTCTATGATCAGTGTCCTGGCATTTCCTTAGTATATTCTTTTATATAGTTAACCTGAACGCTTTCATTATCAAACTTGTCTTAAACACGTGATATTATAATTTGCAATGAAGAGTGCTTATATTTTCCCTTCCGTTTGCGTCATTACGTCATATATTATCCAGAACATGCAAGGAATACATGATTGCACATGCTAAAGTTTTTAATATTATGATTTAAGTTAAACCATCATTGTGATGTTTATATTTGAACGTACAGTAGTTGGTTCTATCTTAGTTGTATGCATCTGATAAAGTTGCACTGCGTCTGATCCATGTTTGGTTATTCTGGAGGATTGTTTGCTCTGGAGGTGTTCAGATGCTGATTTGAAGTGAGAAATTGCTTCTGTGAGTGATCCATTTTTTTTAAATACCTTTGTTTGTTAAGAAGAAATCATTCTTAAATAATATTCCCAAGTTTGATTATTTACACGCAGTTTTGTGCTTTTAGGGTTCACTCTTGCGCATCTGCAATTCCAGTAAGTAACCCCTATTTTCATTTATTGTCCCGCATTTATCTATTTTAGATAACAAAATGAGTTAATGACATTAACTGCTTATGGTTCCAAATATTCATGGGTGCTCCTCTAGTTCCTTCCAATGTATTTCCTAGTTAATATTTGGAGGTTTTTTCAGCCTTTTGATTTGCATGCCATTTGCTTGGGTTTTCTACAATAATCCTTTGGCCTTGGTGCATTTCTGGCTATGCTTAAAAAAAGAAACTACTAATATGAATATAAGTTTTAAAACGAATTCTTTTTATTGGTGGAAGTTGAAAATTTGGAAGTTAGGTGTGTGAAAGTAACCTCTACATTATTGTCAAATTGAGTAAACCTCTACTTATTAAGAATTTAATTTTATTTATTTATTATTTTTTTTCAAACATGTTTGGAAAAAATGTTGAAGTAAATTTTATTGACTTTTAAGCTTAACCTAACATGCTGTCAGTAATGCCATCCAATGTTTGAAAAAAAATCAGCTGCGCCAAGTGTAAGAACACTACAGCTGTGCCACTCTTTTCACATGTTTGAAATTTGGATATTGACTATTAAGTATGAGAACACTACTTATCCGATCAAGGTACTATTGCACACTATCCTTTCCTCATTGATGCTGTACAGATGATATCTGCTGTGGTCCAATTCTGCTCTGGTGTTGTGAATACCTCTGTTGAAATCTCCTTAGGCCATCCTAGAGGGCTTGTAATTCATCTCCTTAGGCCATCCTAGAGGGCTTGTAATTCATCTAACTAATTAGTTTCATAACCATAGTAATATCATTAAGCAAATGTGATGTTGTGATCTCGCTAGATTCCTGCCTCCAATCACTTCCTGGGAATCCATCTGAATTTAATTTCATGAAGGCAAATAAAGGTTTTATCCAGTCAACAATAATTGGCAATCTCTCCTTCGTATTTTCTACTAATGAACTCCAAATCCCCTAGCCGCCTCCAGATTCCAGCTTTTAAAATCAAAGAATTTAGCTCTGAGGTGTACTATTTTTTTCAGTAGCAATGGCTTTCCTTTACTGCCATGGTATTTAGTGTCATTCCTTTCCACCTATACAAACAAATGTATGAGCAAAAGAATGATGGTACGAATGCATGCAGGAGTAACAGTTACCTGAGAAATGCCAGGCCTGTAAGCATACTCTCATTCAACCTGGCTGGGAGATTGAATTTGAATAAATCGGTAATATGAGCCTCAACATGAGATGGCAGAATGCTATGCAAAAATTAACGGAATAATTTTACCAGCTTTATAGAAATGGCACTTCAAGGCCATCCGGACATTTCTCCTATGTTGCAATTTCTCGTCTGTGGAGATTCGTCCATGTCATGGTTCCTGGCAAAAGAGAAAAATATTTTTAACAGATACATTTGTGCAAACAAACCTACTGGAATCTTTATGAAAATGTTTATCCGATCATATTCCAACCATCCTTCATTACAGAACTTCTATCATAGGAATTATCTTCCGGAATAGAAGACTCTGTGTTGTGGTAATTGGGATTTGGGTAATCTTCTTGACAAAATTTGGCTTGAAGACTTGTTCCAGCTTGTTAGCATCCCATACCACTCATTGAAGAAATATCATACCTTTGCAGATGTTCCCCTCTCCTTTTCCAGAAGTTTATTTAATTCTCTTCTAATTTCCAAGCAATATATATCCCGCAGGTCATATGTCTTAGTAAGACATTTTCAGATTTTAGACCTGTTATTTCTAACCTCTGCTGGAAATCACCTACTTTGTGTATCTATCATTTCAGATCCAGGCCCAAAGAGACTCATGTGCTGTAAACCTCCATCGTATTTCCATACAGAACAATCTTAGATAGATCCTTAATCTCTTACTCCGAGCCCTCTCTCTGCCCATGAATAACACAGCTTCTGCCAAGATACCCAGTGCAGTTGACTATGGCTGTTCACGTCTCCCCATATGAAGCTATATAAAATATTTTTAATGTACAGTAAACAATTTGGAGGCTTCAGAACTTGCAATATGAAGATTGGAATAGAAGAAACAACTATTTGAGCAAGATGAATCTAACTCCTGTTGGAAGGAATTTATACTCCTACCTGAAAATTTTCCTCTAATGTTATTCAGAAAATTGTTAAGAGAAAATGTTTTTTTAACCTTATATAGAGGGCACCTTGATAATGATTGGAGGAGATTTTTGATGATGAAATCCAGTAGCATCCGATTGGAGGCTGTAAGCTTGTTCAATCGATTCAATATTGATGAATCTAGAAAAGAGGGTTGAGGGTTGGAACAAACATAAAACAAGAGTTCTTGGGAATGCCTTGGGACTTCTTGATTGGTTCAGCTAAACTATAGTGCGAAGTTGTGTCTATTTGGTTAATAAGATCCGAAAGGTCTATCATTTCAGATTGTGCAGATTATGATAAGCTTATAGAAACTATTGTGTGCCAAATAATACTTGTGTTTGTTCAGAAAATGGAATGTCTAATGTTTTTTCCCCCAAAATGACTGGATTGAAGGGTCAGTCATCCTAAAATCAGGATTCACATTTGATTTCTCAATAGAAAAAGGAGAGGATTTTTAGCATTTTGGATTTTGAGATACTATATAATCAACCAAAGGGACGGATCTCCAATCAAAATGAGGTTTCTTTTAGAAACAGATTAAGAAAAACAGGACTCAAATGCAAGTACAATAAAAATTTCATTATCCAATAAACTTATCATATACATTTTGTATCCAATTTTGGCCAATGATATACTGTAGTATGAAAAAAGGAGAAAAAATCCAACCCGTCCCAAGTGCCCCAGCATCCAAATTTTTGGTCACTGGACAATGGCCGGATATGTTTTGGCCATTAGTTATGTATGGCATGCGCGGGCTGTGGGGGGTGCATGGTTGGACATGAAAAAGCCAGGCAATGCTGGACACATATTGAAGGAGCTGGGCTGGCACTTTACTCTCTTTCATTGGCTATCTGATTGATTCTCTCCTGGGATATGCTTTGGCTGCTGTGATAGAACCAATTTTATCCTTGGCGTGAACTTTTTGTACATCGTATGCCTACTTTTTTTGAAACATTTCCAATTGTTTTGGTAGACGGCGGCGGAATTGTTAGAGCTGATGTTCCTTTTAGAAGGGCATAATTGAAGTATAGTGTTGAACAAGTAGGTGTAACTGTTGAGTTCTGAACATAAACAATTCTAGTACTCCCCAAGTATGGAGTATAGTTTTCATGCCACTATTTAATTGACATGCATATCACGTATCCATGTTTGGGTCCCAATTGATTGGTGTGTACCCTCCTATTTAATACATGTCGCAAGGAATATGAGTGCTCCATACTAGATTACTAGAAATTTTCTTGACGGAAAAATTTCACACGACATTTTTATACTCCATGAAGTTCATCATTATGTTCAAATCTGAGCTTTGTTCTACGTGAAGATAATTATCTCGTCTGCAAATGCAAGAAGAGGTTTACTGATAACATTATGGATGGTAAATATTGTTTGTTTTCAATTTTTTCATATTGTTTGAGCGTTTACTCGTTATTTAATTCAATTTGCATTTCCCCTATTGTGATTTTCTTTTTCTGTAGGAAGGTTAATTGAAACAAGAAACTTACATGTTTTGTTCCTTGATCTTGTTTTTAGACTTGCAATTAATATTATTTGCTGGTTATATGCATTTGTACAAATCTCTGTAGCACAGACGCTTCAATTAGGGTAGTGTGTCTGTATCGAATACGTGTCGATATCGATACTTCTCGTCGACACTTCTCGGACACTCTTATTAAATATTTTTCTTTTTTATTAAAAATATTATATATTTTAATTCAAAATTATTAGTAAATAACAAATATATACTATATTTAAAGGATTTAAACAATAAAAGTTAATAACAAGTTTAAGTGTAAAAGTAAATTTATATTATATAAATGAAGAATTTTAAAGAATTCAATCAATGTGTCGGTGACGTGTCCTATTGGTACTTTTTTGAACAATCGTGTGTCAACATGTTCGACTCGTATTGTTCAGGCATAAGTGTCCATGTCGGTGCATCATAAGTACAGAATGTCACCTACTGCTATAGTATTACGTTAAACCTACGTGTCATGTATAGAATAAAGACATTCTAGTATTAGTGATAAATTAAGAGTTTGTAGTCTTGGCATTTATATTAGCATGTGATAATCCCATTCATTGCCCATTAAAAGCGATTGTTTTTCTCTCCTGAAATCTTCCTTTGTTGGAGTGTAATTGCTCTGGAAGCAGGAAAATAATTGTTCTGTCTTGTGAATATAATCTGTATCTGGGAAGGCTATGAAAGCTGATGAAAAGTTGTGATAAATATAAATTTTCTGGGGGATTTCTTGTATATCTGAGAGGAGAGCATAAGTAGCCCCACCCCCAAACAGTTGTTCGGGCTACATGGTGGCTGTTGATGTGGGAATGTCATGGAGGGGATATTTAGCTGCTGTTTCCCGTGTTGTTGGCTTGATTTATACTGGATTATGTATTATTATTAGTCATTCATCACTAACGTAGTAGTAGAGATTCTCTCATATATCAACGAGACCCCTTGAAGGAGTGTGGTAGAACGTTTTGTTGTATGTAGAACATTTTTGTTTAAATTGGATTCAAGTGTTTACATAAATGATCTCCAGAGGAAATTGAGTATTTGAGGCCCTTGGTAGTGTTTGTTTACAGTGCAATATTTACAAGAATCTTTTTTTTTTTTTTTTTTTTTTTTTTTTTTTTTTTTTTT